GACTGCGTTACATAACCCGTGTTAAGTTCACTGAACAATAAGGAAGTGAACATTCTCTTGAGCGGGCAGTGAGATATGACTTAGTAAACTTGCAACTTCGCTCAACTATAAAGGACGATATCTCGCGAGAGAGAAGGTTGACGGTGATAAATGAATCGTCATAAGCAACTAAATTCGTCTCGACGCGCTTCTCAAAATGCCGCCATTCATATTACTGTATTCACATTCATTTATGATCCCAATCTTCCCCCATTTCGCATGAATCGTCTCAAGTGTAATTGGATTATGTACGGATATCGGGAAGCTTTCGTGGATTTATGTTTATCGGATATCCGCTATTGTGTTTCGCCGATCCAAGTATACCTACGCGTCCATCCTATTTCATTATTAGTCCCGTCGATAATAGACGATCTTACGTGAATTGATTTAATCCGCTCTGAGCTGAAACAACACCCGTAATTACGAGCAGATAATCAAACCGAGTGGCGAGATGAAGTTCACTGCTGCACCGGTGTAACAAATAACGAAAGTACCTTTTACCATTCGACATATTGTAGAGGTAGGAAAATTAATAGTAATCTCCTGGTTGCGCATTTCACAATCAGATGCGGGATTGTAGCGACAAGCTGAGAGAAAATGGTGCGAATATCCTGCCTTCACGCTTAGTCTCCCTTCGCGCTGAAATACGGTAGAATCGCTTTGATTTCTTTCGAGCGCGCGTTTCGACTTTCGCGACGGCGCAAATGAGAACGTTTAAGGGATCAGTGCCGTCACGTACACCTCAGAGAAGATATCACCGCTCATTTTTTTCTTGATCCGTCTTTCGCGTCGACGGGGGAGGGAAAAAGAGGTAGACACAAGTCTGCCGCCCTGCATCTCGGCGATTTGCCTCGTTTTACTTCCTTGAAAAGGTGCCGCGGATACTAAAAGCTTCAAGCTTGTCGGTGCCTTTTTTTCGTTTAGGTGGAAGGCTTTAGAAAGATCGGTCGAGACGAGCACAAGAATAGTAAGAAAACACTGAGGAACTCCGCGAAGATAAAGCGCTGAGAGAAAGAGCCGCTGTTAAAGTGTGGATCAGAGTGTTGCGTGCGTGTGCGGTTGTGTGTGCGCGTGCGAATTTTTATCTACTTGTCGCGAAAGGCGTTTTATAATCTCCTGAAAATTGCACGCTTTTAGGATCCTACTTTTGTGTCGGTAGCTGCCTCCATTTCCTTTCGTACATTATGATCGGTTTTTTTTTAAATCGGCTTTCTTGCTAATTGGCAATATTCGTCGAATAAAACTTTTATCGAAAGCTATCCGATTAACTCGAAATATTAAATACATAAATGGTTTTACCTATACAGATTGTTCCACAACCATCATACAAATGATATTTGCATAACTTTTGCATTAGTAAATGCACGTGTAATTCCGTTTATACATTTGTTTATTTTCAACTGGGAAAATGGGTTTTATGCTAATTGTTCAAAATTTGTAGTTATACTAATTTATGAATCGAAAAGAAAATGTTGGCTATATTTTATGCATCGATATTATCAAACGTAATGGTATTATTAAAGTTATCCAATTTTATTTCTTTTGAAATATAAAAATTTTGGACAAAGTAATAATATAATTTAATTTATTTCAAAAATACTTTCCCAGTTGAAATGCAGACAGATTTTATTCTTTAATTAAACACAATAAAAAATGACATGTGGATGAAACTGTTGAATCAACGAAAGAATATTTAAACATAAAGTATAAAACGTTCTACGTACATTTATGTTACAAAGCACTTTAAATGATTTAAAATTCGTCAGGTTTTGTAAAATAGAAATCTGTTATATCTGAGTTCGTTAATACAGTTGAATCGTATATTGCTGAAACACCCCAAGTCACTTTTTGACATTTTTGAGTCTTGACGCATTGCAATTTAGGTCAACTTGCATCGTTTGATCAGTGCTGAAGTTCCTATATTTCATAGTGTCGTTTGCGTATCTGAAATATGACACATCTGGTATTCTAAAGGCTTCTGAATTCATGAATGAACTCGTGTGGCATACATTTACCTAAGTCATGAAAAAATACAAAAAGTAATTAATTTTTACAAACTAACCAACATTATGTTACTTGCTTTCCTACGTGTAAAATAAAATATGTCATTATCAATTAAGTACGGCACTCATTTTCTAAAAATATTGCTGCAAACAGACGTGAATGTTTTTTTTTATCTCCTAAAAGTGTACAAAAAGTGACTTGGGGTGTTTCAGCAATACACGATTCAATTATTGTAGTTTTATACCGTTTTAATATAAAATTTTATATACGCGCGCTTGTATTTCTCAAATATTCTGTTGGATGTAAATCGAATTTTAACCTTTATTCTATCGCGAATAAGTCGTTTAATATGTGAATCCGATACGTGGTGTATTTCGTAGTAGTGACAAATTAGCCGATAATGATCTCCGGCGGTTGATTACTTCGGTGTCTACGCACTTTGTCTTGTCATTCGCGTGACGAGATTCGATTCGACTCGAGATACAAGGTAGCGGTATGAGCTGCTGCGCGTGTCGGCGCATTATTATCTCTTGAAACACGATCGCGACTGGGGGAAGGAAACGCGATTGTTCTCTTTAAGAGATTAGCTATAATCAACTCGTTTAATTAGTCAATTTTATCGACGCGATAGCCATTTATCGAGGTATATATTCGCGCGATTCAAGTGGAGATCGCGAACGGGAGTTACAAATTATTATCCCGTCGCGAAATTTACGTGCGATTATTTCTTTAACGATAATAACGATTCGAGTTTATACACGAGTTGTTACACGTTAATTTTTTTATTTAAATATAATTAATTTATTTTCCGATCGGCGCAGAGTAACATGATCAGATCGAATGGTACAAACGGCGGCGATGTATCGATTATTTATTACCACACGCGAGATTTAATGTATCGCCCGTTTATCCAAATTTTGCTCGTACATTTTCGAACGCGGTTTATCGCGTCTTAATTAGTCCTCGGCTCGATTTCATTAACCACGTCGCGTTGCACGATATCGGGATAAAATTGCCGGCGTCGCGTTCGAATTTCTCGGTCATTAACGGGACGTACGTTCGCGAATGTGGGATGGATCGATTCGGAGTGACGCGTTTTTAATTAGTAAGTAAAATTGTGATTAATTCAACGTTTCGTTAATTATCAGCCGCGCGATATGAGTTTCGCATTCGCATGTCGACGGTACGTTAAAAATCCTTCGTCGCTCCAAGTTCGTTCCAAGTTCGTTCGTTGCCGTTAATTTCCGAGACGTCGAGAGCTCGAGCGGGTGAAATACGCGTCGTTTAACAACGATCGTGTACCGAATCTTCCGCGCGTACTTTATAACGCGTAAAATATTTTCGCCGTAACGGTAAATTTCGGCCGGCACGCGGCACTCGGATGTTTTTGTGACCCTATAGCGTGCTGTGTTTACCCAAGGTCGTTTTGTTTATCGTTCGCGCGGCGCGACTCGACTGGAGGGGATGGGAAATAGCCGGCGCTCAATGCTTCATCTTCGCATTGTCTTTCGGGCTGCTATCGCGTCGCCATTCCGCGATCGTTGATATAAAGCGACCACGGAACGAATTAATTTTCCATCTAACGTCGCGCCGCGTTTATCCGGCGAGTGCGATCGCAGTTTGCTCCGCGGTATTTAATAACGTCGTAACGTAAATGCGCATGTGCGTCGCCGTGATTTATCAAAAGCCCCGTCGTTCGATGCTCATTTTACGGAACGTTAAACAGCACATTTCGGCCCACTCGATGCTGCAACTGCTCCGAAGCGTTCATCTCGGTCTTTCTTTAAGGGGATGCTGGAGTGATTCTGCACTTTTGGCACCTTTTGCTCCTAAAACTGTCAATTCGTGAAAACATTCGTGTAATATACAAATTATGTGGCTTTTGTGTACGAACCGACAGTGCTCCACTAATCGGGCTAAATCAGAGAACAGCGTGGTATCATCGAAATTAAGTTTAAAAGCCTAACAAAAAATCTATTCACTCGTTAGTTAGGTAACTTATAACTCATTCGAGTGAATAGATTTTTTGTTAGGCTTCTAAACTTAATTTCAACGATACCATGCTGTTCTTTGATTTAGTCCGATTATTCTAACACTCAATCTGTACACAAAAGCCACGTAATTTGTATATTACACAAATGTTTTCACTAATTGACAGTTCTAGGAGCAAAAGGTGCCAAAAGTGCAGAATCACTCCAGCACCCTCTTAAGGGGATGCTGAA